TATATATATATATATATATATATATAGAGGCTGTTTGGGAGTGATTTTGAGAATTGTTTTTTTGATCGTTAGAAAAAAATTGGGGTCCACCCGTGAGAGAAGAAGTCAAATATGACGGTTGAAATAGTGAAATAACGGTTAAAAAATCAATTTTTTTGGTCAAAAAATCGGGCCCAAACAGGCCCATAACATAATAGACATAAATAATTTCTTAATTAATAACTTAAATTAGTAGATGAGATAACATCATGATAGCAATCGGTCGAATTTGAAAATTTAAAATATTCAAGGCTTCTGGCGTAGATTTTTTGGCATTAATTCTTTGTGAATACGTGTACCCCATTAGCATATTTGGGAGTCATTATCAGTTAATAGGACAAAAGTAAAAACTCAAAATTCAAATTTATTTGATTAAGCACCTTTGTCACAAAAATAAAAAATATGATCGTTATTTATCACATCAAATCACTATATTTAACTTTCTATCTCTTATGTGGGTTTCGTAACGACTATATTTTTCATTTGTATTCTTACAAAAATAAATACTAAACGGAATCTAAGTTATTTATTGGACTTTTTTAAATTTTATTTGTTTGAATGTTATGAAAGGGTTCGATTTTAGAACAATCCAAAGTCAAAAGTTTTGTATTTAGTATTTAGGAACCGCCCGCACCGCCACCCGACCCCGACCCCCACCCCCTCTTTTCTTTTTCCCCACCTCATCGGTGATAGAAATTGACATTAATTGAATGTAAATACTAAATAACGTATCTAAGCAGGCACAATAATGCCCATTTTTATGGGTTCACGTTATTATTAGGCACGTCAAATCTATAAGATACGCAGTTTGACTTGTGAATACGTTATTTCTTATTTAGACCCTATTTGACCCCCATTTTGTGAAAATAAAAATAAGAGGAATGATGATTTTTTTATTTTAAATGAGTGATTGAAAAAAAAGGAAAAATTTTCGATTCAAGCGTAATATTATTTTATGGAAGATTGTATAGTTGAAAATTAGAGAGAGAAAAATAGAATGTAATTAAATCAAGTCATAACTTGAATGCAATTTATTATTATTATTTTTTATTTTTAAAATCAAGTCATAACTTGAATGCAAGCAACCTTTCACCATGTACCTTTAGAGGCATAACTTGCGATTTACCTTCCTCGCGATACTTCAGAACAGGGGTGGAGGGGGACCCTTAAAGTTGGGGTTCAACCTTTAATAATCTTATTCAAATGATTGCATTATTAGTCCTTGTCTGGTTTTGCCAAAAAAAAATCAGATTTTTGTAGATTCCAATAAAAATTGATGAAACATTGATAAAAAGTTATGAATTCCTCGATATATGTGATAAAAAATTGATTTTTGACTTTTATTATAATTTTTATCAATAGTTAGAGGTGAAAAGTAGAAAATGTCTGTCTGGTTCTAATACCTTAGATATGTGATCCACGAAAATATTTATCAATTTTTAGTCGCTTTGTTGATAGTTAGTCTTACATCTAAAATTGATTGTTGAGCCCTTAGGGATGAATTTGGATATCTTTAGTCCTTGTTTGGTTTCATTTTTACAAGGTTTTAAGGAAAAATATAATGTAAAATAGTGATTTAAATAAGAAAAATAAATGCATTAAAATTAAAATGGAACTCTAACAGGAACTTAATTTCATTAAAAAGCTATTGGTCCACATAACAAGCCTAAAATGACCATGTTAGACGAACCTAACTTGGTATACAATAATTTATGATTAGATTAGATCCAATACCTAACATGGACCGTCAAAATGAAAGCTCCAATAACCTAACCTCGACAATACAATATAAAACTTTAAGAGTATGTTTAATTGCAAGTATGAAATTCGCATGGAAAGACCTAGAACTTATTTGCATGAAAATCATTCATTAAATATGTTTGATTAATTTAATTTTCAATCTAGAAATGTCATATTTGTCCATCATTTTTGATGGGATAGATGAGAGAGCGTGTGAATTGGCTGAAAATAAAAATAAAAAAATTTCACCCCGTTCAAAGAAGATATTCGTTATTTTTGAGGAAAATATGGTCACGTGACTAATTTTTGAAAAATATTTTTCATAAAAAAAGTGTCAAGTAAACATTTCAAAAGTAAAAATTTGAATGAAAAAAATGACATGTTTCATGAAAAATAAAACCAATCAAATATGCTCTAAATGTTAATAAATTTTACACATCAACCATCGGATTTTTTTTTTTTTTTTTTTACCTAATTCCAATAAAGTAGAGGTCTATATTTTATGTAGCCAAAAGTGGATGATGGTGCAATTCATGTCAAACTTATTTCCAATTTTTACACCTCTTTTTTATACTATTATATATATTGTCAAAAGTTTACAGCAAATTCCATCTACGCTGTTGAACGCTCATCAGTCAAACCTTTCAACTTGTTCTTCCTAATGGATTTCCTACTACATTTTCCAATCTTTCACCGATTTGAATGGTCCTGCCGTGGCATTCACCTTTCCTGCTCTAAGATATCACTTTACACGAATTCAATCTCTAGTTTCTGTTTCTCTCTATATGATTTTATGAAAATCGTGGATGTATTCATAAGGAATTTGTGAACGTCAAAAGAACCCGTTCTTGAAATTATGCACTTTTAAAAAATTCAAAAAAAAAAAATAAAATCAATATGAAGAAACAATTATGTATTGGAGGAAAAAAAAAAAAAAAAAAAAAAAAAAAAAAAAAATTTGGCGGGGGGGGGGGGGGTTGGGGGGGGAAAAAAAAAAAAAAAAAAAAAAGAAGAAGAATATTAGTAATCAACTTTCAAAATTTACAGTACATCAGTAATTTAATAATTAAAACTATCCCTACAAAATTTAATTTTTAAAAAAAAAATACTGATGACAGAAAGTTTATAGAACGTAATATGTAATCTAATATAATAGTTTTGAAACATCGTCTTTGTAAACTTAATTTATAGATAAGTTTTGGATGCTTAATAAAGTAATAAAACTAATTTTTTCCAGTAATTAAATAATATTAATTTGTTAATTACAGTAAATTGATCTTAATCAGATTGGAGTTTGGATGGCGTAAAGTGATTTAGCATGGGTCAAGAAACAAACAGAAAATAATTTGGGCCTAAACAAGAGCCCTTTTCTTTTTCTCTTTTTCTTTTTTGCATTGATCCATCAATTTCACAAAATGACACCAATTAGGTTTTAGTCATGGAACTAGCTATAAGAGCATTTTCAAGAGACTTTGTTCTTAAAGAGTATACTTTACAATTTAAAGAGTATCTATAAATTTTAGAGAGTAAAATTTTAATTACTTCAAGAGACTTTTATATTTAATTACTACTCCCAACAATTATTTATTATTTTGCATATATTTTATTTTCACCAACATCCATCCAAATTATTATTATTTTTTGCTTCATTAAAAATTAAAGTATATTTAATTATATTGAGTGAGTTTGCCTCTTCAAATTTAGAAAGTCAAACTCCTTCTCTAAATTAAAAATATTAGGGTTATGCTTGTGGTACATCATAGTATCCAACATGGTGTACAAAATGGACACACTGCACCTCGACATTGGCAACGGCACCTCGGCCAATGTCGAGGTGCAGTGTGTCCATTTTGTACACCATGTTGAATAACATGATGTACCACTAGCATTATTCTAAAAATTACTTGGAAATGCTCCAATGGTATAAAAAACAGTTGAGAGAAAGATTCTAGTTTCGAGTTAAGAATTATTTTACTTTTATGTCCTCAGAGCTGGAAAATAAAAATTTACATGATTGAATATATCTCATGAAAGATCGAGATTTTCCACCTCAGTCGAGAAAATAAAAATATAATTTATATAACTTTTATTATGTATTATAAATTAATACACAATCGCTGATCATGAATAGTATTATTAATTATTTGGTGGAAGCATTAATACTGTGTAGATCAGTAGATTAATTATGAGGCAAAATGTAAAAAATTATCACTCAAAAAACACCTCTTTAATTAAAAAAACGTAATTAGATTTAATCCCGTGTTAAACGTAAACAATAAATTAACCAGATGAAGAGGAATCAGAAACATTTTGTTCAGCAGCTGGATCAGAGTTAAGATCTAAATCTACATTTTGATTATGATTTTCCTCCACGCTTCGTTTTCCTTTCTTGATGCCGTTAAGCTCTTCAAAATCTTCCCGTTTAAAAGACGGAATCCAAGCAGCTGGTTTCAATCCACGGTCAATCTCGCCGTTACGCTTTTCGAAATACTTGATCGCCTCCTTTATTCGCCGGAGAATAGCAAAGAACTCCTCCACCTCATCATCCTCCGGCACCAGCTTCTCGCCGCCTTCATCTTCCACTACTTTGCCTCTCTTCCCGTCGGCATGTCCGCCGTCCACTACCCATTTTCTCTTCTCCATTTCCATTACAAAACAAGAAAAAATTTAAATAAAAAGAGGCAAAAGAAAACGCAGAAACTGCAAGAAATATTCTGTGGTTTGTTTTGGTTGAGGATTGTTGAAATGACTAAACCATAGATTTTAAAGAGAGAAGATTCTAATGTCTTTCAAATTAGGCCCTTGTTTGTCAACCATTTTTCCACATTCTATAACAGTATTTTTTTTATCGTATTCATTTTTAATCATACATTCGTTAAAATAATACAATACACAAATAAAAAAAATTTCTTTTTTTTTTTTAACTATACATTTTAATATCAATCACTATTTTATATTCCAATTTTTAAAATTAAAGGGCCACAAACAGGCTCTAAGAGGAGCCCCTTTGTACACTCATGCATTCCACTATTGTGGACATTCGCTGTGTTGTCAACAAATAATTGGTCAAAAAACCTTTTTTTTTGGGGTTTTTAAGGTGTACATGATATACACCGCCAAGCATGATTATTAAAATTAACGTTGGTGGCGTCATTTCAATGATGTCATCCCGTTGGCGGTTGGTGATTGATTCTGAGGGAGGGAGAATTATATCCGTTTGCCCCTGTTCTTTTCTAATTTAAATGGTTAGAATAATGTTGTTTTGAAAATTTTGTGGTTAAAAAAAAATAAATTTTTTTATTTGCGTGTAATATTATTTTATAGAAGATTGTGCAATTGAAAATAAGAGAGAGAAAAAAGAATGAAAAAGAGAATGAGAGCCAAACGAGGTATTTGGAAAAGAGGAAAAGAATTGCAGTAGAATCTTTGTACGAGTGGACAAAATTCGATGTGCAAGTTCCACGACTTTATCATATCATATTCATGGAGTAGGTTGGGGGGTTAGTTGGGCGGAGGGAGCCAAAGGTTTTACAATTTGTGGCATACACCTTACAGTAAGGAAATTAGAAAGAAATAGTGTTTGATAGAGGATAAGGTTTGGTTTAGTCATGTTTGATAGAAATAAAATAATTTTATAGGTAAATTTATAATTTTAATTTATCTTTTATCTACATATTTTTTCAAAAATATTACTTTTCTTAAAATATATTTTGAAGAATTTACACCAAACTAGACGGACAAGTCCAATGACAGACTCAATTTTCAGGTACTAATTTGCCAATTTGTTGTTTAATTTTTATTTTATTTTATTATTTTATTATTTTTTTAACTGTCTAGTATGTCTGTCAAAACCCCATCATTCATCTGTTTCTGTGGCATCTCTCCTTTTAATGTTGTAGTAAAATTTTAGACAATCAATTTTGACTGTTTTGAATAAAGATCAACTGCTACTCTGACAAAGTGGAATTAGACCATGCCAAGTTTTACGTTAAAATCATTCTATAAGAACAAGGTTACGTTGTCTTTTTTCATCAAGGCGTGCACATGGCATCCATCCAACCAACGTTCACTCTAACCTTCCACCTGTAGGGGGTGCACATGGGCCAACGAGCATAACTCTATATTTTAAGCGTCGTCCAACCAATGTTCACTATATGGCAGGTTAAGTCACACTTTTATAATTATTAAATAAAGGGAAATTTATACAAATGGTTCCTTACTTAGGGTATTACTGAGCAAGTGATCCTGAACCTTTAAAACTTGACTCAAAATATTCCCAAACCTTTCACTTAATCCGTATTGGAGTGGCATTATTTGAAAATTCAAATTTTTTTTTTAAACTCATTTTGAATTATATATTATTTCAATAAAATAATTTTAGACTTATACTCTAAGTTTTTCATACTTTTTAACCACTCATTCTCCATATAAATCACTATTACAAAATATACTCTTCAAGAAATGGTCTTAAACAAATCCTTAATGGACTCATTGGTCCTTTTATATGATTTTCATCCAATCAACCATTAAAATGGTCGAACTTTTGACATAAAGATTAAAATGTTCTTACCTTAGCTAAATAAACAAAGTAATAAGTTAAAAAAATATAAGACAAAAAGAAAAATTAACTCATCCTATAAGCCATCCCACATTAGAGCATATTCAATACAATCGTGAATTCCTTTAAATTGTGCCAGATAAGTAAAATTGAATGTTCGAAAAAAATTCCTCTATAATGTAAGTTATTAGGAACTCCGTCAATATAATTTGCAAAGAAAGATAGTAGGTCCATCTTAATTCATAAATGTAATTTTACACTCATTATTTATTATGCATGCAGATTTAGTGTGATCTTATTATTGTTTTAATAAACTAAATGACATATAGATAGCAATCATATAATGCATTTAAAGTTAAATTTGAATTTGGGTGTCTACTCATTAAATATGTTGATTGAAAGTCTTTCATCATATATATATAGGGAAACGTTCTTCTTACACATGAATTTGACAAGTATTTTTGACAAATAATCGTGACCTTTAGATGAAGCAAATCCAACGGTTGGTTTCTCATGGATCTCAAGTAGTTATAACTAACTCTTCCATGATTTTAATGAAATGCATACTGACCGTCGGATTTCCTTAATCTAAAGATCACGATTATTTGTCAAATTCATGTGTAGAAAGAATTCTCCCCATATATATATATATATATATATGGAGAGAGAGAGAGAGTATGTTTGGGGAGATATGAGAAAATGTTCTTGTCTTATTTTATTTCATTTACTTAACTAAGGTAAGGGCATTTCAATTTCAACCTTTACAACAATAAATGACCTTTTTATCAGTCGATTGGATACAAACCATCCAAAAGTACCAATATCGTCCATTAAGTGGAGGTTATGGATGTTCGCGTCAAAATTTGAAGGTTAAAGACCATTTTGACAGCAATTCCATGACTTAGGGACCATTTACGCTAAATTTCCATTGAACAAGTGGCTCCTGATGATTTAAGAGTCCAGCCAAGGTCTTCCCCATACAAGTTAATCCTCGTGGAAAAATGAATTTTGATATATATTTTTAAAATTAATAAATTCACAAATACCTTTGACATCAGTGGCCAAAAGGTTTCTGTCATTCAAATTAATTTGGCATAACTCATTCAGATAATATTTAAATCCGTGAAGGTTTAAAAAAAAAAAAAAAAATAATAAAAATTCATTCATTGAGCTGAAGCAATATTTGTCACTAACATAAAAATAATAAAGTCGAGAATCACTCTATTGATGATTTTAATCAAAACCTCTCCCGAAAGACGAGATAATAATCAAATAATATTTATTTTTTTTCCTTTCTTTAACTAGTCTGTAATTAATAAACCAATTTTCATTATTTTGATAGCTTTTAAATTTCTGTTGTAAATTGTCTAGTCTAGCAAGTCATTGAAAATGCATATTGTTAGTTGATCCAATTTTTATGAAAATTTGAAGCATTGTTCGTAGTTAAAATTAAAAATTGAAAGCAATTCTTCACCATCTTTTTTGACCTTTGCAACCTACGAATAAGTGACCCCAAATTATTTGTGATTTCTTATTAGTTTTGCATTTGGTGAGTGAGTGTAATTACTTGTTTAAAATTTATATAAAGATTGTTGAGATATAAAGTGATGTGAAACCACGTAGGCAAACGCTACGGAACTCACGAACAAGATGAAAATCTTTCCAAGAAAACCAAAGTGAGGTTTTGGATTCGAATTCAATAAATCTGAAACCAAGCAACCCGAATCGCCAACGATGTGCGGACCTCTTGATTACGCAAAATTATGGAATCTCACCCGGGTGATTTGAACCTCACAAGAATTAGATCTTGATAAATTCGAAAGGTGTTCAATTGGAAGAACAAAGAGAAAGCAATTAAACCTTTCAATTAATCAATATGTCAAAATCTTTTAAACAATGGAATGAGAAACATATTTATACTAGTCCTAAAATCTAGGTAAAATCGCCCATAATCTTCCAAATATGGTAAGAGTCATATTAAACTTGGAATTATAATAAAATAGGGAAATCCTCGCGAAAAGAAAAATCGCGTCCCACTTTTGTACCATGCGGTCGCATGATACATTTTCTTGCGGCCGCATGGTTCATTTTCTTGTGGCCGCATGGTTATGCGAAATTCGCCCCCGAAAATCTCTGCCTATGGTTGTGCGACCGCAAGCCTTGCAAAGCTATGCGGCCGCATGACTTTGCTCCTAGAACCCGATTTCGTCCACCTTAAACACATTGATCTAAGTTTTTTCGGCCTTCGTCCTCAACATGAAATTTGTCCCATTTTGAGTCACGAACATGGTTTCATCAATAGTTACCTTGACGAGCAATCTCATCACCTATTTTACTCGCTTTGTCCTTGCTCGAATCATCGGACCGCCCTGGACTATCAACAGATCTTTCTTAGGACTTGACTTTGACGCTTGTGGCCCCTAGCTCACATCATCCCTTCTTCTTTGAAAGGATTCGTCCTCGAATCTATACCTGCATCAAAGAGAGAAAGATCAGACACATTAAAAGTTGCCGAAATGTTATACTCACCTAGAAGATCTAATTTGTATGCGTTGTCATTGATCTTCTCAAGCACTTGAAACGGTCCATCTCCCCGTGGCAACAACTTTGATTTTCTTTGTTCTGAAAATCGCTCTTTCCTCAAATACACCCAAACCCAATCTCCTGATTCGAATGTAACAATCTTCCTGCCATTGTTTGCTTGATCTGCATAGTGCTTACTCTTCTTCTTAATTTGTTCTCGTACCTTTTCATGGAGTGACTTCACCAGCTCGGCCTTCCTCTTCTTATCCAAGCTACCTCGTTCATTCATAGGCAAAGGTATTAAATTCATAAGTGTTATAGGATTAAAATCATAAACAATTTCAAATGAAGAAAATGATGTAATGGAGTGTGTGGCCCTATTATATGCAAACTCTATAAAAGGTAAGCACTCTTCCCAATTCTTCAAATTCTTATTAACCACAGTGCGCAATAGTTGGTCTTGGTCCTATTTACTACTTTAATTTGTCCATCGGTTTGTGGTGGTATGTTGTAAAAAATAGTAATTTCATGTCTAACTTATTCCCCAAGACCCTCCAAAAGT